CATTAACCTCTTCCTGTTTCTCTCCGTGTCTATGTAAATTCTTAATGTAATATTCTTAAGATTATACATATACACGACCTTGTCTTGCGGAATATTATCATGTCTTAATAGTCAAACCGATTAGCTTCACTTTTTGTCAATTTCCTAATTCATTAGAACACTGATTGTTCATATCTTCATCAATTTTCTCTATTTCTTGACTTGATCAATTTGTCTTCTATGAGGCAGTTAATGCATGTGATTATGACTTATATATTATATGTAGATGCTACCCTGGGCCGTTTGCCGACACTGGCTACACCTACAGGATTATCTCTGTTCAGTGTCTCGTCAGCATTGCGCTTCCTGTTATCTGTACCTAAAGAATTAGAGGTTCTCAACGACAGATGGTTGGAATGGGAAATTTCTCAATTACAAGTATTATTTTGATTTAGCATTGAATCTATATATCAACTATAACTTTAGCTTTTGTTTCTAATGGTCTTTGTGTTATTTTTTTATTGTTATATCATTGAGAATGCTTATCCAGCAAGAGAATGACACAGTGTAACACAGTGAATCATTCCATCTTTATTTAACATTGACAAACAATAAGGATGTAATAATTCATTGTGTATCATTTGTGTCTCTTGCTGGAAAGTACCCTGAATTGGACAGAAAGCTATTATTGATTCTAGGAATATTCAAAACTGGTTGCATTCAGCTGACAAAGCAGCTCAGTAAGTGATTTTTTTTTACAATTCTAAAAGTAAGAATCAATCATATTAAAGAATCAATGAGCGTTCACTGAGCTGCTTTGTTTGTTAAACACAATCAAAGATTCTTAATATTAAAGCTGTCATTCTTTGCAGCCAGCCATATTAAGTCACGCGAGTGCTAAAACTTCTAAAGCTCTAATAAAACAGAAATCCAACTTATGGTCTTTACTAAAAGATCTCAATAGTGAACTGAAAGACAAACAGTACTTAATTGAGGTAAATAATGAAAACATTTTATTACTTGAATGTTTTATTACTCAAATGTCCATTGTTTATACCACTTTTTTTTTAGAAATGTAGTAACTTATCACCAGCAGATATTTCTATTTGGGTAAGTCTTTGGAGCACTATATTGATTACAGATATCGCAAATGATATTGCCAAAGACTTATCAAGTGTCAATAGTTGGTTAGCTAATATTCAAAAGCAGCCAATTATCCAACAATCAATTAAGGTAAAGTCGTGTTGTAATATCTATTTTATAAACATTGATTTGACATATGTAATTGATATATTCTGAATGCAGGAATCTATTGAAATGTTCAAATTAGAGAGAGGTCCAAAGGCTATTGCAAGTATTGAAGCTGTTTCTTGGTTCCCTATCAATACAGTCTCAAATCCTCAAGTTCATGAATCAGTATCTAGTGATGTAAGTATTTTAAATTAAATATTTTTAATGGACCATTCCGCAAATAACAGTGGACCTCTCATATATGTAAACCTAAATGATTTATTTTAGATTAGCCCAACAAAAGAAAAAGAGATGGATATCGTTAATCAAAAAGAACTTTGTAATGTGGCAAAGAGTTGGGCCACTGAACAATATCCAGAAGTCAAGGAAAGTTCATATCCTATGTAAGTTGGATGAATCTAACAAATTTATATAATTTATAGAAATTTATTAAGCTAGTTACATATTTTTTTCTTTTAGACTGCCTAAAAAGGATGAACGAAATATGTTGATAACATCAGCTCTTCCTTATGTTAATAATGTCCCGCATCTAGGAAATATTATCGGCTGCGTTCTTTCAGCCGATATCTTTGCAAGGTTTATACACTTAAAAAATACTAATACAAATACTTTTAACTTAACAATATGATAACGAAATTTTTTAACTTGCGCAGGTATTGCAGGCAAAGAAATTACAATACTCTTTACATATGGTAATTATTTCTTTTTGGCAACATACAAGAAAATTAATGTTCCACAATTCAAATAAAATTTTAAAATTTAATTTTAAGTGGAACCGACGAGTATGGCACCGCGACTGAAGCAAAAGCTCTGCAAGAAAAAACGACTCCTCAAGCTATTTGTGATAAATTCTTTGATATACACAACGATGTTTACCGCTGGTTTGGCATCGGATTCGATTATTTCGGCCGCACTAGTACACCCGAGCAGACAGAGTAAGATTGTAACCTCTATTTTTATTCTTTTATTTCTTTCGTTTCTTTATCTTATTTACATTAATTACATTCATTTTCGTGATAATTCTTTTCAGAATCGTTCAAGCGTTTTTCCTAAAAATTAAATCGCAAGGCTACGTGTTGACCGAGACTGTGGAACAACTACATTGCGAATCCTGTGATCGGTTTCTCGCCGATAGATTTGTGGAAGGCACGTGTCCTGGATGTAAGTACGAAGACGCGCGCGGTGACCAATGCGATGGTTGTGGTCATCTCGTCAATGCAGTCGAGTTAATAAACCCTCGATGTAAGATCTGTAACACTAAACCTGTCGTGAAAAACTCAGTACAGTTCTTCCTGGATTTACCCAAGGTGAAATTTATATCGTGATACTCCGTCGATATGTTTCCAGCGAAATACGGAATTATATACGAAAATACAACTCTGTGTTGCAGTTAGAAGAGAAACTGAAGGAATATTCTACTACACGTGATAAAGGATGGTCCAACGTCGCGAGAGTGGTTTCAAAAGCGTGGTTACGCGATGGTCTGCAGCCTCGTTGCATAACCAGAGATTTGAAGTGGGGAATACCTGTTCCGGTAAAGGGTTTCGAAAATAAGGTGTTTTACGTCTGGTTTGACGCTCCTTTCGGATATATCAGTATTACAAAGAGGTATACCAAAGAATATAAACAATGGTGGCAACCTCCTCAAGATACAAAAATCAATTTGTACCAATTTATGGCAAAGGATAACATTCCATTCCACACGATAATGTTTCCCGCTTGTTTATTAGCGGCTAATCAAAATTATACATTGATGAAATGTATACTGGCAACTGGTATGATATTTTCAAAGAATGCACATCTCTCGAACGCATTTTTTTATTTTGTAATTTTATGTTTTTGTATCTTTATTTTAATCTATTTTTCTTTTTGAATCTTGTGAATTCTCTCTTTTTATTTAATTTCTTTACACATATTTGTTCATCAATTTTCCTATCAATATAATATTCTATTTTAGAATATTTAAATTATGAGGATAAGAAATTCTCCAAGTCTAGAGGTATCGGAGTGTTCGGAACCGATGCCAGAGATACCGGAATTCCAGCTGATGTATGGCGATTTTATTTAGCTTACATTAGACCCGAAACTCAAGATTCCAATTTTAATTGGGTGGATTTAGCCACGAAAAATAATAGCGAATTACTAAATAATCTTGGAAATTTTGTCAACAGGTTTGTAATTACTATATTTCTTTGTAAGTCATCAATAATTAATGTCCTATTATTAACAGTCTCAAAACTTATTATGGATAGAGCTCTAGCATTCTCTGAAAAATTCTTCGACTCTAATATACCACCGATAGAGCCGGAAGAGGCCGATTGGACTGTATTAGCATTGGCACAACGTGAACTGTCGGCTTATATAAACGCTATGGAGCAAGGCAAATTGAAAGATGGCTTAAAACGCATATTGGCGATTTCGAAGCACGGCAATCAATATATGCAATTCCAACAACCATGGATGAAAATCAAGGGAAATAACGACGACAAGTATAATCAGTTTTATTTATTTTAATTGCTTTCTTACCGGTTGGTCCTCTATTATTAGTACTTATCCAAGTAATATCTTTATTCAAAATTAACAGGAAAAAAGCTGGAACTGTTGTTGCAATTTGCTGTAATTTAGCCTGCCTTCTTTCTGCTCTTCTGGCTCCCTTTATGCCTAGTACAGCCAAACAATTGAGATCTCAACTAGGTTTGAGTAACAAAAGTTATGGCTATATCCCCGAAACAATAACAAACATGTTACCTACTTGGCACAAAATCGGCAAGCCCAATCCGCTGTTCACTAAGATCGAAGATCAAAAGGTAGAAATGTTACGCAAGAAATATGCTGGACAGCAAGAGACTAATGGCGATGGAACGAACAAAAGTTCCAACGAAAGTATCGCATTATTAGAAGCCGCTATCACAAAGCAAGTTAGTATATCTTTTTTTTTCTTTTCTTATAATACGAGAATCGTCTCCTTGCACATTTTGTGTATTTCCTAGGGCAACTTAGTAAGAGAACTGAAAGCTAAAAACGATAAGAGCGTTTGGCAACCGCAGGTAGAAATTTTATTAGATTTAAAAAAGAAGCTAACTGATCTCAAAAGTAATGCAAATGCACCTGCGAAAAAATCACCCGCGAAAAATAAGAAAGCCGAACCGATGCACGTGCCCGAACAAAATGGGGATACTCTAACTGACGTAGCGACATTAGAATCAGCTATCGCGAAGCAGGTATTGGATGTCATAAAATGATACCTGTTTTCCTTAATAATTTTATGTACAATTTGCTACATTATATCGTGATTTCAGGGCAATCTTGTACGAGAATTGAAGGCCAAGGAAGATGGAAGTGTATGGAAGCCACAAGTGGAAATATTATTGAAATTGAAACAGCGTTTGTCAGATCTTACTGGAACAGCACCAGTCGTTGTTGACAAGAAATCTAAGAAAAAAAAATAATTATATTTCCTTCGTAATAGGGTGATGAAATGTTTTTATAAGTTACATTATTTATAGGTATTTCTTCGGCATATGCACATGAATATGTGCAGAGCACGATGCAATAGTATTTGACTAACGATAAAAAATACACACGCGCTTTATTTAACACGTTTATTTTACCTACTTGCGCATTGTGTATCGAAACTTAAAGGGGGGGGGGGGGATTATGAAAAAAACATTTGTACTTTATTTAAATGCGTTTATTCGCACTATGTATGTATAATGATAATTTATTAAACAATTTACATAAAAGACCATTATTATTGGAAATTTTGCTTATCTCGATATTCTTTATTGATACTGCTTAGACATAAGCACTTGTTGAAAGAGATTACTCGCTTCTGGGAGCACTAGAATGATGTTATTTTTAGGCGGAACTTTATCTTTTAGTAATATCTTATTTTTCTTGTCGATTTTAGTGTCTGTTTTAACGTCTGATTTAATATTTTGTTTTATATTTGGTTTGATACTTGGTTTAATACCTTGTTTTATACCTGGTTTAATGCCTAGTTTAATGTCTGATTTAATATTTGGTTTAATGCTTGGTTTAACGTTTAGTTTAACGCTTGGTTTAATGCTTGGTTTAATGCCTGGTGTAATATCCGATGTTTGCTTCGAATTCATTGTGTAGAAGACAAAATACTCGATACCAAATACGATAAGTGAAATTATCATACCAAAGAGCAAAAGAAATAAGATCGGCGCCGCTTCATAAATGGTCACGCTGGAGACGAAAATCTCGTCACTTGGGCAATAAGGCTTCCTGGCCGACCGACGACGTATTTCTCGTCGCCGTAATCCCGAAGTATTTATCCTCAGTAATCTATATTAAATAATCTTGATCTAATTTTTTAAAATAAAAATTGTAATCAACACATTATAACGATGTACTCACGCTATTTTAGAGATTTCGTGAAAGTGACTTTTAAGATTAGACCACAGGCCCAACTCAGACTTCAACAGGTGAACTTCTGTTAACTGACATATCATCTGTTTGTCGAATGCAAGTTCGATGGATGGATAAATATCATCCGGATCCGCGTGATAAGCAAAACCTCCTCTCTTTATTCCCTCCACGCCCTCCTCGAGCGAGATAAATCTCTTCGATTCCGGTATAGCGTTCCAAAAGGGTCTGAAGTATTGTACGTCCGGTCTTGGGTTCTAGTAAAATGTAGAAGCTTGTCAAAACGATTAAGCTTAAAAATATCGAATTACTATTTTGGAATGCTTTTTTACTCGCAGCAAAAAATTGAAGAAGACATTTTTCTCAGCAGCCATCTGCATCTTACTATGCGCCAACGAATACAATGAATCATTCATTTTTTGAAGAGGCTCATTCAATCTGGCTGACACTATCGCCGCTCCGTAATAATTGTATACCAACAGGCCGAAGACTGTGATCTGAATTAAGGCGATTCGACTGGCCGATTGATTAGAGAGAGAAGGAAAACCTGATCGATATTACAATAACAGAAGAACAATATATTCGCTATCGTATCATTATAATCGTTAGTAGCAAGTACCTTGCTGGCATAATGCGGCAACGGCGATCAATGCCGAAATGCTGCAGCCGTAATCGTCGGCACGTTCTAACTTCAGTATGCAGGAGAGGATGAGAATTGTAATCACCACGATCAAGATGATCGAGTACCACGTGTCCGCCGCGAACGGTTTCAGTATTATCCAGGGTTTCATCTTCGTCGCCGGTATGGTACGAAACATGAAACAGGTACTGAATGAAAAATTATTCGCGAGTTGGACAAGAGATCTTATGTTGCTTATTATATTTTATTTATTTATGTACAAATTCCCAAATAATACCAAATTCAAAATCGGGACACAAGACATCTTTTAGACAATTCTCGCAAAAATATCTTTAAAAGTATGTCTTTTAAACGTTTTATATCATATTGTGTTCCGAATTTGGACTTTTGTTTTGTGAGTTTTCTTCATTGCTTACCGCGTGGGCCATTGTGGAAAAATAACGCGCGCGTAACCATATCTCTCGATCGTTAGGATAGACGGATAGTAACCCAAATCCGCATCGTCCCTCTTCAAGGTGCCCATCAAGGGGCCATTACTGTCATTCTTCTCCCAGTGATCAATCTCGATGAGGTCCATGCTGCACGCGAAAACATTCGTTAAGCCCGGTTAAAACGATCAATATACAGTACATACGCGAAAATATTTAAATGTATCATAGTCAATTACGTAAAGTTAAACATGTTGGCAACGTGCGAGAGAAGAGTGTGTCCGAATTTCGGCCAATTGTCCATGACCTCGAGGCTGTCACCCTCCAGATAATCTATCAAACTCACATTCTCTGGTCTGTGCAGCACCTATGGTACATCTTCTATGTAGTAATTAAAATGTTTTTTTTTTTTAAATGAAGCTTACAATTCCGGCCGCCTTGGCTCGCATTCCATGATAATCTCGTCGTCTGTTGATTCTCGAATCGGTCAACTTGATCGTAAGTCCTTCGTTCTCTCGCCAACTACCGAGCCATGTAACGTTAAGCACTCCGCCGCGCATTTTACAGTGATTATATACGTCATAGAGAACGTAATCGCTATCGTTCGGCAGCAAGATCGCAAAATCCGTGACAATGCTGAAGCCACTATCGTTTAAACTCTGCAAACTGTCGTTCAAGTTGCTCCCGAAGATCAGCCAGGCATATGAATAGTCATACATACGATGAGTTGTACCCTATATACAGGTTTAATCTTTTTTATTTGATTTCCAGAGCGAAAAATTATGTTTTTCTTTTTTGCAGAATTTCGAAATTCTCACTTCGTTGAATATGCCGCTGACGTTTTGATTCGGACATCGTATATCCACAAACACGCCCATAGTTCGATCGGTGTCGAGGTATCTAGGTATATCGATTTGTGATCCAGCCGGTTTAATCGCCGTGGACATCCCGACATCGGTCTGTGTGTGTGTTTTATAAAATTTCGTTTTATATATATTATTATATATTAGATATATAAAATTATATATAAAAAAATATATATTTTATTCTGCGAATTATTAAGAACTCATACGCAAAACGCAATGCTTGACGTACCATCCACATCTCCGCAGGAGAATCCCACTACTCTGGTTACATTTTTGTAAACAAAATAGTCCCGAATAATTTGGCTGGTTTGCGCATAAACGATAATGATAAACGTTTGTAAAAAAAAAACGCGACACATCAGGCACATTGTTTCTCAGTATATATGAATTACGAGGTTGCGATGACGTTACAACTATTTCGTTTCGTCTTCATTCTACATGAAAAACCAGGATAATTTCGTATCCGAGACAATAGCAGAACTCAAGACAATAGAAACGATTTGCAGAGTTCGGACTCATTCATAATATCCATAACGTCGATTGACATGACAGCATAATCACGTCGGTTACAATGATACAAACCATATACAGGGTACCTCGTCACTTTCGTCGTTCACCTCATCTAAGATACTCCTACCAATTTGAGATTGAGCCTCTTAAAAAATTTATTTAATTAATAGCTCTTGAGAGAGAGAGAGAGAGAGAGAGAGTTCCGCAGGTGAATACTGCGTCTGGATGATCCATGTGACAATGTGTTACAAAAATTTTGGAGTGACTCCAAGACACCCCGTATATGGCGCGATTTCCTCTTTAGTTTCAAAGTCCTCTACTTTCTGTCCCTATTCTTTATCAATTGCCTCGAAGTCGAATCTGTTACGATCAATTTGCTTGTCCCTCTATCTATTATCCGGTTGTTTTCTTGCGAAAGTATTCATAGGAAAATTTCTCCAAAGAGACTGTTCTGCGATGCTAGTGAATTCACAGTTTTATTAGATCAATATTAGAGCGACTGGGAAAAAATTACATTTGTAACGCATTCTGTCTCCTCGCGTAAAATAAATATACGGTAATGAGACACTAATGAATGTACCAATTATAACACACGAAGGAACTTATGAATATTTTACTTCCCAAAGTGAGATAATTCACTCAGATAAATTATGTTTGCTCGTACTGGCTGTCGCTTCCGCGTCATCGCTGCTCAAAGGTCTCGGCGTTTCTTCTCTACGAGCAAAATTATGATAACTTCGACATGCTAAGACGTAAACGCGAGCGTTAGCTCACCTCATGAATCGATAGTAGATGATATTCTCGATAAAGCATATTATGCCTCCGACAAGTACGCCGAAAGCTAATAGAATCAAAGCCGGAGCGATCTCGTATATGGATATGCTTCTCGTGGACAATGTATCGAGTGTGCATTGAGGTTTCCTGCTTGACCAATATTTTATCTGTCGATCACGTAACCCGGTATTGAACATCTTGGATAGCCTGAAGAAGAATTTAATTATTTCTTGAACTATACTAGCACCTTCGTTACATAGCAAGGAAAAATTATAAACAAGAATTTACCCGATTTTCGCCATCTCAGTGAATTGACCATTGCGACTGGCGTACATACCCATGACGGATTGTTTAAACAGATGGATCTCCGTCAATGCGCAGATCTTGTTCGGATCGAACATTTTTTCGATGTATGGATACGCCGTGTTCGGATCCGTGTGATAGGCCAGGATACCTTCGCTGACCTGCTTCATGCCCTCCTCTAGCGGCAAGTACCGCTTCGACTCCGGTAAAGGATCCCAGCGTTTCTTCCTAAAGTAATTTGATTCCGAGTTAAGTTTCTGAAAATATAAAATTCGAATACTGTACAGTCTTTCTGGAAACTTGATGCGTATGTATTTCAGCGTGTCTAGAAACGTACGTATAGAAAGTAGTTCAAATACGGCACAGCCTCTGCCGCAATTTTCAGATTGCTATCCGCGAGAACCGTCACGTCATCATCCATCATGTCGAGCGGTTCGCTCAAACGAGCCGACACTATACTACCTGAGTAATAATTGAACATAATCCAATTAAACATGAGAATCTGCAGAAGAGCGATACGACCCGGAATACATTCGGGATAAAAATTTGCACCTACAGAAGAAATTCTCGTCAAGTTTCTGAGATGATACATTTGCTATCTACTTATTTTATACCTTGCTGAGCAGTAATGCCGATAGTAACGACCACAGCACTGGAATATTTCTCTTCTTTGCTCGCCTCCTCGCGTTTCATTATTATCCTCATTATGAACATGAAGAACACAACGAACACGGCGCTCAAGTACCAAGTCTGAACCGCAAACGGCTTAAAGAAAATCTCTAGCTTGATTTTATTCGACGGAGTGGACAGCAACATGAAACATGGTCTGCAGAAGAGATTAATTATTCGTTAAACGATGTCAAATTGACGTTTTCTTGATGTAAAGCGAAATTTCGATACCGAATCGGCCACGCCGCGCCAATCAAGGTAGCATAATCTAATCTCTCGGATACCATAATTCTGGGGTTACTGCCGAAGTCGATGTAATTTGTTTGTAGAATCTCGAATATCAAGCCGTGCACGCTGTGACGATCCCAATAAACTATTTCCGAAGCGTGTATACTTGAAAAAAGATATTTTTAGGATTACTCCTGGGAAAAAATGTTACATATATCGACATATTTTATATATAATTATATGTAATTGTATATAAAATATGTCAACTTTACATATAATTATATACGAAATATTTTTTCCCGGGCTCTTACAGAAATATATATATCTAATAGTAGCCTATTTATTTATTACTGAAAAATAGTAATTAATTATTTACTTGAAGTACTAAAAATACTGGACGATGTTATTAATACTTAAAATAAATAATTAATTACTTTCAATACTAAATTGATCGGTATTAGATTTTTGTAAAGATATTAGCCACCGAAAAATGCAAATTTCATCCTAAAAACTGAAAAATACCTAAAATTGAAGAGATCAGCGGTGTGAGATATCATGGCGAACACGAACTTATGCATACTATCTAAAGATCTGGTGTTAATATCGATCATATAATCCTCCAATCGCATGTTCTTTGGCCTGTATTGTATCTAACAATGAAGCATACGATAAAAATATTATAAAATATAATTAAACGTTTCTCCTTTTTTTTTTTGTAGAACCATATATTCAATGAGACGCACCACACCCGATATTTTCAGCGTCATTCCGTGCATATTCGCCCTTCTTTCGACCAGAGGTTGAGTCAGGGTGATAATAAGACCTTCTCCTCGTCGCCACCAACCCAGTCGAGTCAAATTCAATGTACCTCCACGGTATTTACAATGATTATAAACGTCGTAAAGATCGTAACCGCTGCCATTCGTTATCGCAAGCGTGAAATCGGTCGTCATACTGTAAGCATTATCGTTCAAAAGCGGCACGCTGCTATTCAGTGTCGAGCCCAGGACCAGCCAGTGATATGAGTAGTCATACATACGGTACTTCGAGGTCTGAAAATATGAAATATATCCTCTTTCTTTCTTTCTTCTTTTTCACATGAGAAAATTGAAAATATCATATAAATATGAATGATTAACCCTTCGTGGTCACATCTCCTGAGAATTTTATGTAGATCACACAGGGGACAAAATGACTCCAACATTTTAACTGATTGCCGTATTTACAGTTTTTATTCCTTAAAATCACAAAAATTACTGAACATACTTTAAACATTGTAGAATATGGAAATGCAATAGATTTTTAAAGTTTTTAATTTTAACATATTTTAAAAAATCACAAAGGCAAACGTCTAAAGAGCGACACCTAAACGTCTAAAGAACTGCGGTTGAAGGTGCAAAAAAGGTATTTTAAACTTTGGATAAATGACAATTTAAATGTCGTTTTAAAAAAAAACTTCGAAATATAAAGCCTCACGCCATTTTGGGGTTTCTTGGACCCCAAGTAATCACGAAGGGTTAAAGATTCACTCTATAAATTCTTTTACCTCAGCAAAGATGGTCACGGCGCTTTCGTTGCGACAACGCAAATCCACGACAACTCCCAAGCTCCAGGCATCAGTGCTCAAGAATCGTCGTATGTCGATATCCTTGTCATGTTTCCGAATGATCGTAAATATACCAGCTCTGCTTAACGATTTTACGAAATAAAAATCACCTGCGATAAAAAAATGAGACATGAAAAATCTTTAACATTTATGCTTTTGTTGAATGATTCACTAACACTTCGAAAATTTCACCTACTCGTAAAATCTCCACAGGAGAATCCCACAACATTTCGCACTGCCTTGTTCACGAAATAGTCGCGAATAAAGTCACTATCTTCCGCGTTGACGTTACAAGTGAATCGCAGTAAAGCAAAAAATATCACGTACGCTCCACTGTGCTTTAATTTCGCATTATTCATATTGTACAAAAAGTAAAAGTTCTGCAGACTTTATGTAACGTCGAGTCTACACACATGAATACGAATAAATGAAAGAGCTAACAAAAATAGAGTGTAATTCGATTAGATTTGCACGGATCGGTTGTAACATGCTTTGAATTTTTCAGCATCTATATAACATTAAACATGATATGTTGAAATCATACGTCTTATCATTTATTTACGTTCCAATGCTATGACATTCTGCCGAGGAATGAAAACTAGAAAATGTGTCATTATCGAACTACAGCAAATCACACACGGTAGTGATTTATTATTTGCGCGTACATCTAATGAATAAACACACAAGCTACAATATCTGCGATAAAATCTAATTGAACAAGCATTAGAATAGAATGGCATATAGAAATAATATATTATCTGGTTATTCGCGCGAGAATATTTCGCCCGGCGAAGTAGGTGCGTTTCTCATGAATTTCGGAAAACACAGTTTCCTCTGTCCGTTGGTAGACATTGATAATCTAAAAAAGAAAGAGATCAAATGACATAATGGAAAATTTTAAAAATACTTCAGTATATTATTCTTTTTCTTAACTAATTAATTTTTTTAACATTGATCGTTACCGAGGCCATAACCAGTAGACAAGATTCTCTGTTATGCAAATGACGAGAGACAGCGCGGCGGCGATGCCAATAAACACAAAAACGGGTACAGCTTCATAGATCGACAGCGGTTCCTCGATTAGCATATTTTTCGGACAAAACGGTTTTCTCGCCGACCAGAATTTCAGTTGCCGCCTGCGTATGCCC